GTTTCTACTTTTAGACCTCTTCACTAATTCATATGGATTTATTTGGTCCCTCGAGGACTAGAAGCTTTGGTGGTGATTATTATGCATTATTTATTGTTGATGACTTTTCAAGATTTACTTGGCATTGACTTTAGTTCATAACATGATGCTTTTAATGCCTTTAAGAAATATGCAAAGCTAGTCCAAAATGAAAAATTCATGAACATTGTATCAATTCGAAATGACCATGGTGGAGCATTTCAAAATTCATAATTTGAAGAATTTTGTGATTAGAATGGTATTTCACACAACTTATCCGCGCCAAGGACACCACAACAAAATGGTGTAGTTGAAATAAAGAATATGTATTTAGGGGAACTTTAAAGTACAACGCTAAGAGAAACAAAGCTATCAAAGTTTTTTTTTCCGGATGCGATAAGCACAACGTGTTATATAAGTAATCAGGTTATGGTTAGATCTATCTTAAAGAAGACACCATATGAACTCTACAAAGGTAGAAATTTAAACATTGCATATATACACATTTAGATGCAAATGTTTTGTTTTAAATAATGGTAAGGATAACCTGGGTAAGTTTAATGCAAAATTCGATGTAAGTATATTTTTTGGCTACTCTCTTTCTAGTAAAGCATATAAAATTTTAATAAAAGGAAACTTATTATTTAAGAATTTATACATGTTTATTTTGATGAATCTAACCCCTCCAAGGTGAATAAAATTATTAATATTTATGAATATGATATAGATGATACACCATTTAGTTTTCAAAAAATACAGGTATGTGTGGTATCCCTACGCATGTATGGGATACTCAGAGGCCTTAGTGATGATGGTTATGGCTTGCCCGCTGCAGTGTGGCCCTGTTTAGTGATGTTTATGATGTTTAAAGTGGTATGAAAGGGTGAGCTCACGTGAGGTGAGAGGCTTTGTATATAAGTGTTATGCTTAGGGTGTAATGATATATCTTTCTCCCATTAAAGGAAGAAGAATATATAGAAGCACTTAGGCCTAGGGATTAGAAAAAACTCAGAAGTGGTAATCACTCCCCCTTTACCAGGGGAGATTATTGACTACCTATTTTCTAGGCAGTCGTAGTATGACTCGGTTTACGCAACTAATGAAGAGGTAATGGTATTATACACGTCTTATATCCTAAGGGAGAGTCTCCCATTCCCCGTAAATATAGCTCCCGAGTGATGTCTCACGAGGCGAGGACCTCGGTGTCACCCATATTTATGACTCTCACAAATATATCATTACGCAGTCCCTCAAGCACGAGGGTTTGTAAAGGGCGAAGTATTCTAAAGCTTCTTTCGACTTCTGCCACGTGGTCTAGAGTGAGTCCTTTGATGGGAGGCAAGTCCCTTAGCTTAGAGAAAGTCCCTCATCTAGAGATGACATTTTTAAAATAGGCACAAGTCCCTCAACTAAAGATTATTCTCTTGGTTAGAGGTGATTCCCTCAGCTTGGGCGAGTCTCTCAACTAAAGGTGGTTCCCTTGGTGGGAGGCGAGTCCCTCAGGTGTTGCGACTCCTTTGAATGGAGGTGAGCCCCCTTAGTTAGGGGTGAGTCACCACCCTATTCCAGATGTCTCATGATTAGCCAGGATATTATCCAAGGATGTTAAACATCAACCACTCAAACGGACATCTTTTATTTAATGTAAGCAATGATGGCTTTTTTTCCAAGACATTAAGTATTTGTGCCGCATGCTAGAAGCATGTTGAGTTTTTCAAAAGTTCTAAGGGAGCCTAAAAGGATTTTGGTTTTCATTTCCTTGTAAAGGATTCCCCTATTCGCATCTTTGCTTTATTTGTTCTTACAACTTACACAAGTTTCTCCCGTTCTACCAGTTTGCCTAGTTTTCTTACAAGTTCTTCTTGCTCCCCTCCTTTTTCAGGTACATAATCTATCCTTTTCTTTTTCTTTTATAGTAGTTGTGGTCAGGGGTCGTAGGAGAAGATTTGTAATAATGTTTAGGCTAGTGAAAATCTTGTAATTTTAAGGGTTTATATGGCCCTCTAGCAATTTTGATGGTGGTAGTGATTTCTTTTTGTTCTTCTACTTTCTTAGGAACAAAGAGACAATGGTTATCCCATCCATAGTACCTAAAGAGGCAAAGGATATTGAGTTCACTTATATTACTAAAGAGAATATCCTTTTCTTTTAGTCAGAAGCGGAGACTTTGTCTTCAAAAGATGAAGGGATGGTTATCTTGGAGGCATATTTAACATAATAGAGGGTTACTATGGTTGACCCTTCTGATTATCCCTTCCATATTTCTAATTTTATCTCCCCTATATCAAGGATATGGGGAACTTTTTCCCCCCTTTTTTCTTTTTATCGTGTAAGTCCTAAAGGTCCTCAATGTTGTGCCTTCCCAGTTACTTCCAAATAGTTTTGGTTTTATTAGGGTCTTCAAGATGGTGTGTGTGAAGGTTTGGATATTTCCCTTACTATGGGATGATTTTTCTCATTTTACGCTATCAGGCCTTCAAAAGGTGGTTGGATGTCCTTAGGTGGCATACCGAGAAAGCCCCTTTTAAGCCTCACTTCAACCACTACAAGAATTCGAAAGGCGTGTTTGCCCAAGTGAGGGGTCAAGAGGACTCTTTCGTAGTGGTAGAGGATTGATGGCACCCCTCTCTGTCCCTTGACCTGGACGGATGAGCTTGTGGCAATCGCGGGATATGATGTTAACTCCCTCGATGATTACCTAGGTATGTTTTCCATAACCTGACGCTTTTTATGGGTGCTTCCAAATAGAGTATTTGTAACCTTTGCGCATTCTTTTGTATATCAGATGACGAAGATTACTCTTGATGAGCGGAGAAAGAAGTGGGGGGAAAGTCTGTCGCACATAGGGAGACTTATAGCCCCAAGAGTCATCCAAAGGACATTTTTGTTAAAGGCGGAAAAAGGCAAGCCGAAAAGGCCCACATATTGGAAGAAGGCTCTTCACGGGTTGCTGGAGACGGTATCGTCTCGCTTGATTTATGAGACGGGCACTCAGAGGTCGCCTGATGGCGACACTATATCCCCTATTTTGTGGAGTGATTATGGCTTTGATGTTATTCGGTTCATAGGTTCCCATCTCCGCTTTTCTAAGAAGTTCTCTGGCAATAACAAAACTCTCCAATATAAATTGCTTTTGCTTTTATCAACATGAAGGGTGACCTTTTTATTGATGGCATTAATGTTAAAGGATGTCGGTTGGAGGAGGCGAGATTAGACCGAAAAGGAGTTAAGCGTGAAGCTCAAGAAATATGAGGATGGCTACACCAAAAGTCAAAGGTTACTAAAGGCCTTGCAAAAGAACAAGGACATTTGGGAGAACAAGTTGGATGTTATAGAAGTCAAGGCCGCAGAGATCATCACTAAGAAAAAGTCTATGAAAATGTCTTTGGAAGACGTTCGTCGTTCTAAAAAGGAGTTAGAGGAGGAGGTGGCATATCTCAAGGATGAATTAGTGTTGGCCTCTGGTATCCATTTTGAGCAGGTGAGAGAGTAGATTTCCTTCTTCTATACCCAATTGAAAGAAGGGCTTCCTTAAAATAATTTGGGATGGCCTGCTGCTAGATGATGAAGAGATATCCCCCTTAAAGCCTAAAGGTTTTTCTCCAGCCAAAGTGCTCAGAATAGCGGCCTGAGGATGATCTAAAACTCTCACTAGCTTGTTGAGCTTTCATTGTAAACTATGAATTTAAAATGTATAAATTTAAAATTTGTAAGTTTTTTAATGACATCATGTATCCGCTATCTCTAAATTATTTTAATGACCAGATATGTAATGTCAAGTATCCACTTCAATCTTTTGTCTAATAAAGGATGCAGTCATAAACACTAACTTTTTAGGTGGATAAACTAAAGCATTTCCATAATCAATGGAAACGGCCACAACTCTTGGCATTCTCATGGATCTATTTATTGTTAGTATTATAAAATAGAAAATAAAATTCAAAATACCAACTTTTATAATCAGAACACTTGGATGATATATCAAATATATCTTTCTAATTAACAAGATGTTTTACATTGAAATTCAGTCATGAGAATGCTTCATTGTCAAATCAAAGAATTTTGCAATTTATTGTAGTTTTCTCCCACCCAAAATTATGCGCAATGAAGATACCCAATTTATATTAAACAAATAATGTTAATACAATATTTTTATAAAATATTTATTTATCTCCACACATAAACCCAAAAAAAATAGCATCATGTGAACTTAGAGATTTCAAATCAAACTTTTCAAATTCACATTAATCATGGACAACAATAACTATATGAAGTATTAGAAATTTTTTGATATGAAGAAAACATTATGGCAGGGTAGGATCAACAACCAGATTGTTCGGGACAAAAACAGAGTTTTAGACAATCCAACTGCTGTGCAATGTTTGTTGCAACGAAAAAAAGATGGCAAAAATGTAAAGGTATAGATTAAACATATGGCTATAACAAAAAAAGTTACAAAAGTATGATGAGCAAATAATTAGAGAACACTAACTCAAACAAGTTAACTTATTGTTACTTTTAAAATCATAGTCAAATAAATCATATATCTCAAATCATTATTGCTCACAAACATTAAAATACTTTCAATGAATTTTATGATGAGAGTCGTATGTAAACAGATGGATAGCTTAAACGGGAGGAACAAAACTCACAAAACTCGGCACTGACATCCAGAATCAATAGAACCGGGCCTGATACAAGATATTGTCTTAAACATAGTTTTATTATCCACCAAATTCTTTTTCAATAGGGGGAAGGAGATAGTTTTGATTGATCTCTATAAATATCTCAGATTAGATGCAATTGTCTTAAAAAATATAAGAAAACCAGTCGGGTAGCATTTTGCTCAAGAAATCTATAAATGTTACAACATCTACGACACAACAGAAACGAGATCTAACCCCATTAATACACAACTAGACTGCAGCTTTGACAGAAACAATATGCTGTCAACTCGATCTCAATGCTCAACTCAGTGACACTTACAAGCTCCGATAATCAATAACAGTAACTTCTTCTTCAGGGGCATCCAAATCTTGATAGCTGCATCACCGTTAGGAAATGAGTTGAGCATTCACAGACAACAAACAACTCAGTTCAATAATTGATTAATAACTTCAGTACTGAAGACATATCAACGTCATCATTTCCAGGGTAGAAATACTCCTACCACACATTTTAATAATAATCCAAAATAAAGTTTCATTCCTAACACCTAGCAACATAAATGAACATTTGATTTCGTGGTGATGATTTTTTATGAATTGGTTTTATAAATTTGATTTGGTTTTTAAAGTAAGCTGAACATTAAGTCATTTATGACTGGAATAAACTCACGTAAAAGTTCAAAATAAAGTTGTGTAAAAACCATATAGGCAAAAGCAAGAAGTTTCGTCTCTCAAACCAGAACTCTAAAAGCAAAGACATTCTACCATAGAACACTCAAAATGTCAATCAAATTCATGGATCGGGATAAAAGGCATCATGTCTAAAGATCACATATGAGGTCCAGCAGAATAATTACCTTCGCATCCGTCGAGGATCAGGTCTAAAGGCTGGAGGAACAGCAATCATAGAGGTCTGTCCCCCTATTTGAGGACCAGAACGCATAGTCATCCCTGAGGTATCAAATGAAGATGGTCCTTGATCCCTAAACATCTGCATCGCAACTTCTGGTGGAGCAGGAACGAAGGGTCCCAGAGGCCTGTATAGATGTAAATTATATATAAGCGCCAACAATTCACAATAAAGCCATAAATTGAATAGAATTCAAGAGGAGTGAAAGAGCAACCAACCCGGCACCAGGTACAGGCATCAAAACTGAAGGAGGAGGGTGCATATCTGAGGAGAATTGAGGTACAGCAGGCCCTCCATATGCATCAAACATAGTTTCATCACGGCCTCCCAACCGCCTTTCATGGGATGGAGAACTGTCAGGTCTATCTCCATTTGTTCGGTCACTCCTATCCTGGTCTCGCTGATTCCCACGATCATCTTTCAATCGGCCATCCAGTAATCTGCGCTTTAAAGGCTTGTCCTTCTATATAGAGCGAAGGAAGAAAATAGACAATGGCCATTTGAGAATCAAACCATAATGACTTTATGCAGAAAAATTTTGCTAAGCTTAAACCTTAAATTCCCAAGGGTGATACATCATGCTCCTTTCCTCATAGATAGCACAGCATATATTCAGAGGGAAATTTTATTTTAAAAAATGGCTAATTGCACAAGATGTGCAGACCACATGCAATCATAAAGATGGTTTTAACGAGTCCAGAATTACCATTTGTGATATTTTTCAAGATAAAAATTGTATGGTAAATAAAAATGCAATTCTACCTGAGATTGCTGCATGATAGGGGTTCCACCAGGAGCATCAGGATCACTACAATAAGGGTGAGGTCAATCGATACATGTGATATTTCCACTATAATTTGCAAGACTAACTAATAAAAAAAAAGGCTCAATTAATACTCACTTCATGTAATTTTGAAAATAAAGATCTTCACGCAATTTTGAAGTTAGTTCCAACACAAGCTCTGGATGTTTTAGCTTGAGATGTTTGTACACAAACTCAACCGCATGAAAAAGCTTTGTGCAACCCTTGGCTCCACATCCATATTTCCATCCATACTTTTCATCCCTAATCTTTCTAACATATGGATCCAACATGTCAGCTGCTGCAGCATCTATCTTCTCCTTTGCAGTCCTTACTTCCAAGGGATCCTGGCCTTCCAACCTTCTCTGCCAAAATGAATCAAGCTTTTTCTCCCATTCTGACCCCGATTTACCTGTTTCTTCATGCCTTGCTCCTTCTGGCCTCACATGCCTAAAACCCTTGGCATCGTTAGTCTCCAGCATTCCATAATAATCTACACCATGAATCCGCCAAAGATATGTTATCAGTGTGTCCAGCAGCTCAACGCCTTCTAAGCCCTTAATAGATGTTAGGCCACGAATAATTATTACAGGACCCACAGATCCACTGTGAGCCTTATCACCATTTTTGCTATGATCATTGGTGCATAAAATATTATCTTCAATCCCTTTTTCCTTGTCAAGCTTCCGAACAACAGCCTGAACCTGTTGAATCTCTGCTTGTATCCTTCTAGGTTCAGAACTCACAGGGTGAGCTTTTGGAGCAGCAGAGAAATCATTATCCTTATTAGATCCCCTACCATGTCTTCTTCGTTTGCCACCGGCATCTGTTTCCTCCTCTGAATTTGGCTCACTTGCTTGCTCTGATCTAGTGGATACAGAGGTTAAACCTGGATTTCTGCATAAATCAGTATTTCAATTACTATTATCATTCAATGAATTTTAATATGCATGAGGAAGAAGAGCAGGATGAAACACACAGAGCCAGAGAAGATAAAAACATACATGTCCAGTGTTCCACTTTGCAAATCAAGCAAAAAATCCTTTGCCAGACGCCGAGCATTTTCATTCCTCCTATAAGATTATGTGCCAGATAGGGTTCAATATAATTAGATATCTTTAATCAAAATGTTAGTCTGCCTGACTATCTTGCAATCATCCATCAACATGAAGAGGAAGCTAGTTCTGAATAAACTCACCTTTCAATAACTGGAAGTAAATTTGTAGGATGATATTTATCTTTCAACCTACATCAAAGTTTAAATCAAATAAAGGAATGAACACAAGATTGCTTCAACGTGGAACAAGATGCTAATTTACACTTAACAAAAAGGAACATTTCAAGAGTAAATTGAAATTTAAGCAGTGGGAAAAAATGCATACCACTCCTCATCTTTGTGAGCATTGAAGTAAGCTCTTTTTTGGGTAGTAATATACTCTGATTTGTACTCTTGGTATCTGGAAATAATGGATTATACACATGATTCATCAATAATCAATAAACAAACCAGAAATTCTTTAGTACTAGTAGCTTAGAAAAATGAAAAAGGATGTTATTTTTTTAAACTTACCTACGCTCCGCTTCTGATGGCAGTATATCATCCTCAAGCTCCTGAATGAATTGCTTATAGGACATCAATCCCTCTCTGAAATAATTCACAAGCTCTTCAAGTGAATAGACTTACCCCAAATCATCGCATTGTCAAGTTCAATAGAGTAAATAAAAGCAACCAATGTCCCACAAATCAGCCATAACATGACATAACAAACAATTAAGAGAAACTTCCATAACTACCCTTCAAGGAAATAAAAAGGAGGTACTGTAAATGATAAATGCAATTTTTTATTTACTAATATAAAAGACAAAAGCGGTAAACACACTGATAACCCGTTTTCTTTTTATTCAGCATGTGTAACATAATGACTCACATCACCAGCTTAGGCATCTTCTTTTAAACCTTACATATCTTGGGTATGTATGACATTCAGTCCCTGGATTCAAAACCCTGGTCCCTATCAGGCTATCACACACTCAAGAGATATTTAACAACAGTGTAAGTATGGAGCAACCACAAGCTGGCATCAAAAGCAGACTAGTAGACAAGACAAAAGCACCATAAACTGGATGAACCAAAACTCTTGTGCATTTCCTGAGCTAGTAAGAAATAAAGAGATGCATCAGAAGAACTTTGCTCAGGTAGAAATCCTCTTCAAGGTTCTAGCAAAGGACAAAATTAATGTCTTTCAAACAATTCAATTTCCTTAATGAAAAAATGCATCACAACATTTCTCTAGCAGAAATTCTTGCTTCAAAGTTCAAGCAAAAAATAAATCCTTGTCTTTCAAACAATCTAAATTCCTCCAAGGAATTAGACAATGACCATGAGCCCAATAAAAACCACAACTAAAGCATTTTTCCATTTAGTGGATGGATCAAATGATGCCATAATATTGAAGGACCATACGAAAAGTAGACCATTTAACTTTATATCTTTCTAACTGGTTAGGACTACGTTTTTCTTTGGTATTCCTCAATCTTTAACCATTTGACTATCATCCGTCTAGTTTAACATCCTTACTGATGCTTTTACAGGTCTACACCATACATTCCCAAATCACCTAAGACAAGACTCCACCATTTTTCTACAATAGGATGAGAACTATATGGTCTTCCACTCAAACTGATTTCATTACTAATCATATCTTGTCTTGTATGACCATTAATCTATAACATAATATTATTAACCATCAACACTGACCTTTCTTTCTTGCTGGCTAATTATTGCCCAGCACTCCAACAAATTCACCAAAAAAAATAAATAATTAAAGAGGAAACCTGAATGAGAATGCTAAGGTGGGAATAGGACAAGCTAAGGCCTGAGCCTGGCCCAGGATAATTTTTTAAGGCCTTATTCTGGCCTTTGGCCTATTATATGCTTCCTTTTTTGGTCTGGCCTTTGGCCTATTAAAGGCTTCTTTTTTTGGCCTGGCCTGGCCTTTTTAAAAGTCAGGTCTGCTCTAAAAGCCTATTTAAAAACATGCTTCACATAGCAACTTTCAAATAATCCATTTTACCTATTTTTTTAAATAGACAACATGGCCTCTTATATACTCCCTCTCTTTTTTATTATAAGTCAGCTTTAGAAAAAAAAAATTGTACCACAATATACAAGTCATTTTTCAAAATCCAATAAATCATTAATGATATTTTTCCTATTATACCCTTAGATATTTATTATCCTCTCTTTTTTTAATTAAGTAAATTTATCTTCCTCATACCATTAATAAAAGACAATTTTGCAAAATCCTTCATATGTGTGAAAAGTCCAAAACGACCTATAATAAAAAACAGATGGAGAACAATTTGGCGTATTTTCTACTCCCTTCATTTTTTATTATAAGTTGTTTTTGACTTTTCACACGTATTAAAAAATGTAATCATTATTGTATTGAAAATATAAATTGTGAAGGATTTTACAAAATTGTCCTTCATTAATGGTATGGAAAAGATAAATTTAAACAATGGAAAGAATAGAGTATAATAAATACTTAAAGGTATAATAGAAAAAATATCATAAATGATTTTTTGATATTGTAAAACGACTTATAATTTGGTACATAATTGACTTGTAATAAAAAAATAGAGGGAATAATAGATATGCATATATAGGTCAGCCTATAAGACTTCATAGACTTTTTTAATAACCTAAGTCTATCCTATTTAATTAGATAGATTTTTAAAATAGCTTAAGCCAAGACCTTTTTATTAAAAAGTCCAGGCCAGGCAGACTATAGGTCTCTGTACTCCATCAGGAATGCTAACAAGGTGTTGGGGCAAAAATGAATTACAACTACAAGCATAACTTTACTATAATACAAATTAAGAGAACAGTTGAGGCATGTCATATTTAGGGTTAAGATGTGAATAGGTGGTAATATTTATCAGAAAAGCATACTAGAAGATGATATAATCAATGAAGATAATCTAGTCAATTTTAAAACCATTATCGTGTACATAATAATATTTGTCCATGAATGCAATATCTTTTCTTATGGCTACTCCATTTAACATTTCAATGTTGATTCACAAGGACTGCCCTCACTAGGTAAATCCGGAGAAGGTCATGTGCACGAACATAACAAAAAACTATTCAAATTAGATTGTTTTCATTAAACTTTTTATTTTCACAAGTATCTCCTCTGGACTGATTACTTACATCAAAATATGGTTTTGTTTATAACTTCATTGTGAAAAACAAAAGAACAATCTTCTACTTATAGCCTAAAACCATTCTTCCTCAAAGCTATGGTTTTGTTTATAACTTCATTCGGAAAAACAAAAGAACAACCTTCTACTTAAAACCTCAAACTATTCATTCTCAAAGCACACTGATAAAGTGATAAAGCCCCAGCTACCAAAGAAGACTCTGGGACTGTTTGAAAAAAGTGGCAAATTGACAAAAATGGGGAGTCTTTGCCCTCTTTACCACTTCTCTCAAACAGACCCTTAGTGTTCTTAGACAACAACTGTCCTCTGATATTTTCCAGCACTTTGTCCACGCACTTTCACTGCATTTGTTTGGATCTGAATTACAAATACCCATTTATGACCAAAGGAGAATTGGGTTGTTGACATCACACGCACAAGTTAAGCTCCTCCTAGAACACCTATAATCTCATATCCAAGTGGCTCAAGAAATATTAACACTTAATAGATTCTGGTACTGACCTTGTATAATCACTATAAAAGACCCTTAGTGTTCTTAGACAACAACTGTCCTCTGATATTTTCCAGCACTTTGTTCCTCACACTCACACAGCATTTGTTTGGATCTGATTTACAAATACACATTTATGTCTAAAGGAGAATGGCGTTGTTGACATCACTCACGCGCGTGCGCACACACGTGTTAAGCTCTTACAAGAACACCCATAATCTCATCTCCAAGTGACTCGGGAAATAGTGGCACTTAATATACTCTGGGGTAATGACCTTGTATAATTACTATAACAAGGCGTATCTTAAAATGAAGCCACCATATAAATTATTTGAACATTTGCATCAAATATTATTTGAAAATTCCTTAACAGCATAAACCTCTAGATCCCATGTTTCAGATCCGGCACTCTTAGTCTATTGGCATGAGTGCCATATTTACTTTGTCAACAACCTTCTCATACAAGTCATTCATAACTTAAATTAGTAAGTACAAAACTGACCTCCGAGCACCTCCACTTGGCCCATCGGCATAACCACGAGCGGCATCTAGATCTGCAAAAGACATACCCATAACATTAACATTTCAATGATAAATTCACTTCACCCTGAAAGAAAAGAAAGGCATATTTGATAGCTCGTAGGGAGAGTTACTTTGTTACCAACAACCATTCCAATTAATTGAAATGAGATTTAGAAAGAGATAACAGTTAAATTGAAATACAAAGACCAAACACCAGCCAGGGAGATTTAGAAAGAGATAACAGTTAAATTGAAATATAAACACCAAACACCAGCCAGGGAAACACACACACACACACCCTCCATCAAGAGTTGGGGAGGGAAGAAAAAAACTGCATTGGTTTAAGAATGCATGCAGGGAACGTGACAGAAAGAATACCCGGTTAAACCAATAAAAAGCAAACAAGCACATGACAGCTGAAACGCAGCATGTGTGACATTGATGCCACAAAATTACAGTACAGAAACTAAATCAATGCTCAGTTTTGAATGACAAGATTGGTAACAATTTGACTTCCATACGAAGAAAAAAGTAAAGCAATAAATTCAATAAAGGAAAAAGAAAACAAAAGAGAATGAGTAGGTCATAATTATAAAGATATGCTAATGGATTCTAAACATTTTCTATGCAGCATCTGAAGAAGTAACTTTTTTATACATGAGCCATTTATAAAACATGGTGCATACAAAACTTCAAATGACTTCGGAGAATAGTTATCAATCTCAAATTGCAACCTCAAGAGGTCGGCCCCCAGAAAACAGTGAATAGACTAAAGACTATAATAAAATGCATATTAAATTATAGGATTATGATACTCATATATGTGATAAAGAAACAATCTTTTAGACACGATGTTTGGCACGACCAGACTTATATGGAAGTTCACTTGCTACTAGTACTGAAAGAACAATTTCTCTTACAGTTTGAGTAGAGTCTAACTCAACTTTATGAAACCAGCTTCTAAAGTAAGGATTACCCCTACGTATAAGCATATGTTTTGGCCATATTTCATCCGATGTGAGACTTTTTACACACCCTCTCACACCCAACACTTTAGAGTTTGGTGTACGGATCGATAGCGGATGGCCCAACAGATATTGAATTAGGCTCGGATACCATCTCAAAATTTGGGTCGAGTGTAGCTCAACCTTACAAAACTGCCTTGTAAGAGGAAAATTTCTCCGCTTATAAACATGTGTTTAGGCCATATTTCATCCGATGTGAGACTAGACCTTGCGACACTTTTTATTATATTTTATGTGTTTGCAGTACATTATTAGCCTCCACATAATAGAACGTACAGATAGCTTAGGGGCCCAGAGTAAATCTTGCTTGTAAATTGAATAATTTCTCCAAAGACCCAAACGTTTTATGTACAGTTTCTAAATATGTTAAATAATATAAAAATTACAGATCATTCAAACAAGTACAAAAGTTTGCCCTGAGCAATAACACCATTTTAATTTTTAACATTAGTTAGTAAATAACAAATGCACAACAAAACCATGCCGCAAAATGCAATAAAAGAAACTATGCTATTATAAATACATACATATCAATATTCAATAATTGAATTTGTTGAGTTTAATAAGTCAATCAAAAAAAAAGGATAAGATTAAAGCTAAATATAAATTTCATATATATGTTTTAAGAAAATCAAGATTGATAATTATTTGCAAGCTTCAATTAGTAACATACCAGAAATTCCGTTTTGGTACCCCCCTGCAGATCGATGTGGAAACCTGCCAACAGGTCTATCATCTGTATAACCAGCCCTTCCACCCCCTCCCCTTTCATAGCCACCAAAGTGATCATAGCCAAACCTGTTTTCCTCACATAGAAAAGCAAATAAGGAGGGGAAAATGTTAGCAGAGTGCCTAATGCAGAGTAACATGGATGGAAATAAACAAATGATACAGAAAAGAATTGCATGCGCTATAATCTTAATATATTCACATGTGTCTAATGCAGAGTAACATGGATGAAAACAAACAAATAATACATAAAAGAATTGCATGTTCTATAATCTTAATATATTCACATGAGTTAAATTGGGATAAACTACCAGTGTAAAAAGTTTTACAGTGAAAACAAACCACCAATCAAATGAATGACTTACAAGTAGTTATGAATAAAGTTAACGTTTTTAAGTTTTTATTGATCTGACAATTATGATTGATTGACATGTGAAAAACATCTTCATAAAAATTAAATCATTTTACAAGAATGGGATCTTTCAAATGAACAAAAGTATTACATTACTGATGACTATGAACATACAAGTATAAAAGTTAATCATCAAGAAGTCAATTACAAACGGTGTAATTCTGTATGACTTCAGAAACTATAACAGTTCATAGGCACTCAATTTCATTTAAACATGTTGAATACAAATAGAGAATATAAACGAAGTTGACTTTGAAATTTCAATGACATGAATTGAAGCTTGACAAAAAACACAAACCTAATAAATCCAATATCTTTCAAAGGTTAAGACTTCATTATTTCTTTACAAACATAATTGGAAAAACATAGTTATCTAAATGAGATTTATATGTAATCTAAAAAAAACATGAAATAGATTGCAAATCAGTAAAGTGGAACAAATATAGGATAACTATTATCAATGGAAAGCAGAAAAATAAATAAAGAAAACACAAGTAGCAATGTAATGTTCTTCCTTCTGGATTCTAGTAAGCAACCAGTACAAATGACGGATCGTCGATCATATAAAGCTGAAGACAACAGTAGTTTCCTTTTTTTCCTCCGTTAATAGTAATCCACAACGACATTACAAACACCCTTATTCAAAATAAATGTCCATGGAGATTTTTGAACTCTACGATGACAAACCACTATGACTGACCAGTGGTTTTTATACGTTATTTTACCATTAGTTTTAGTTAATCATTTTATATGTTTAGTCGCATTTTATTCATTTTTACTGCATTTTACGCGTCGGTTTGGTATTTCTATGGTTTCTAGGTTCAGGTAAGCAATCAAGAAGAATCAAAGCAAAAACCGGGAAAAACAGCAAGAATTCAGAAGAGGTATTGTGGTCAAATACAGGTTTGGAAGCTCAGATGATCAAATGTGAGATGTAAGATCGAGCCGGAGCGAGAAAGCAGAAGGAAAATGAAAAAATTGAAAACTCTGCTGTCCATACGCGTAATGCCTTAGCTGTTACGCGTATGGACCTCACTTGTACGCGTAGGATACGTGAATCAATTGAGAAAGGGAAAAATTCATCCTCTGCTAATACGCGTTAACAGGCAAGGCATTACGCGTATCAGTTTGTGCAGATGGCCTGAAAAGTGGATACGCGTATGATACTTGGGGTATTCTTATGGGCATTACGCGTAATACCTTAGTCATTACGTGTAATGAGGCCCAATAATCGCCAAAGCCCAGAAGCTGACTATTAATCCCAGAACGCGATTTTACCAAGGAGAACGATCGGAGAGAGCAAAAACGCGTTTTGGAGGCTGGAAAACTCATATTTTCGCCATGGATTCATATTTTCAAGAGTTTTCACAATTGAAAATTGATTTCCTTGATTTTCTGTAATGACAACTTCTTTTCTTTCGTTTTTTTATATTGTTATGAGTAGCTAAACCCCCCATTGCTAGGGGGGTGACCCTGATTCTGAATGTAATGAATACTTTTCATTGATGCAATTACCGTTTTCTTTTCATAAGCTTTGATTTGTTCTTATATCTGTTCTTAATACTTTAACCGTCGGACAAACGGATTCTGATCTTCTATAAAAAATTCTAGCTGGACAGCGATTGTTTGTTGATATGAATAAGTGCATGTGATAATAAATGTTACCTAGGACTAGGGATGTTTTATCATAACCGGACATTCTTGATAATTGAATGCTTGAACACGACAATAATTATCTATGGACATAGTAATTGGTTGTGTGTTTAAAGATCTTTCCACTAAGGACTTAGGATTGGATACCCTAAAGAACCGGTAATTGAATATTGTGAATGAGGTCATTGTGTTGATGAATTGAATTTGTTACAGGAAGAATTATTCACCGAACCCTAGCAATCTACTCATCTCTGTTTCTGTTTACTATTTTATTTTGCTCTATTTTCCTTTGTCTTTTATTTTTACAAATTAAAACTTTTAAAACCCCAAGTCTTTTGTTTAACTAACATAAAACCAAAACTCTATATCGTCAAGCAGTCCTTGAGATCGACATTCAGAAAATTTTCCGTTATTACTCAATTGGAAAAATAGTACACTTGTCATTTTACCAATCAATGACATTGACAGAAACTTGTAAAATCATCCTTTTTTAAGTTAAATTAAAAGAATAAGTTCAAGTGGAAAACATTTACGGAAAAAGGGAAAGTGGGCAAGCAAGGAACCCTCCTAAACAAACAGAAAACAAAGAAAAATAAATAATCGAATAGAAAAAAAGCTTCTCAAACCCTTGACATGACCAGTAAACCCCCTTCAACAAATCCTTGAGTGCCAAATAGAGGCCAAAAGCTCAATCATATCCCAACTCAAGTGTTGTGTCAAAGAAATTTCCTTGAGTGTCAAAGAATGCTACTTGGTAAAGCCTATACTATTCCGCAATGGAGATTTTAAAGAACATAAACTATTAAAAAAGATCCTAGGAATTTATGTGCTGGATAGAGATATGATATACAACAGATCAGTTTGGTTTAGCTATAGATGTTGCAACCCTAACGAATGTCAATAAAATTTTCAGCACTACAAGAATATGTTCTCTCTTTTTCGATAAAAGTATCATGCCGTCATATATAATTAATTTCCCCTGCTTCAAAAATTCCTTTTGAGATAAAAACAATAGAAAACTGTCAAAACATCAGAGCAGTGATTCTGAGAGTAGTAGTTACTACAAAAGCACAAGACGACATCCAAAAAGAAAATGAAAAACATACAATGAACTATGAGCTACATTAGTTAAATCCCCCAATTAAAAAAATACAAGAATCTTAAGAAAACAACTAGATTTGCACCACAATAGCTTTTCATGTTAAACAAGCTCCCTAGTTTAACTTCTCCATGAATACTTCTAAGCTTACCCGATTTGTTTTCTAAAATGAAGAACCATAAATAAATTACTATGCAATCTAACAAATCATGCTTAAATTTCCAAATCGAAACGAGCTTCCCTAATCTAAAGTTCATATAAATAAAACCTAACCCTAGATTAAATATTCTCAATCACTCAAAAACCGCAAATTAATAAACCATTAATGCATCATTAAATCACCTGTCGTTGGGTCTATGCGGGCTACCCCTTCTGGATCTCTTAAACGGAGGAGGTGAACGTCGAGACTGCTGAGGAGGAGGAGAATAGCGGCGGTCGCGGAAATTAGGGCTAGGACTGCGACGGCGCTTGAAATCTCTGTCACGGTTGAAGTAACCACCTCGGCCACCTCTGCCACCGCGGAAGGGACGGCGATCGAAATCCCTGTCGTCACGAAAATCTCTCCGACGAGGGAGAGGTGGAGGTGGGAGATCATCGTCGGCTGGAGGAGGTTGAGGAGGAGAAGGAGGAGCAGCAGTGGTGGGAGATCGGTCGTGAGATTCAGGAGGTAAGTTAACTACCTCCGCCATGGAATTGGAGAATTGGAAGAAACGAAGAAAAAAACCCTAAGAATGGGGAAATGGTGAAGAAATGGATTCGGTTACGAGGTGTGTGCGGTTTGGGTTTTATGCGTTTTCACGAAATGAATGTGTTTTTTACTTCTCTCGCGACGGCATTTCATCGTAGATACGGGATATGGGAGTAAATTTACATGACCGTAAATGATATATGTTTTTACAGTACATTGTTTGTAAGGTATATCTAATTTATCTATATAAAATTCCAATAAGAATAGAAGTAAAAGTAATTGAAGAATCTGCGTTTGACGCCTAAAGTAATAAAATACTTAGCACAAAAATTATCTTTCTTAAATATGGGTAAGATATTGAAATTGAAAAAGTTAGAGGGATGGATACTCTTCGGCCATCTATTTCGGAGACCACTAAGAATTAATATATGAATAGAGCAAATTTTGACATTCAATAAATAATCTGTTTCAATTCAAAACTTTCGCCAACCCTAAAACTTGACAATACTGATCGCTCTCAAAATAGCTAGGAACTCAGCAGACACCGACGAACGAGTTTGTAAATTCTCAGTAAAAACAAGGGGGAAATTCCATTATTATACCTAAAAATGTCGCCACAACCACTGGGATTAGTACTCAAACAATAAGCACTGTCACAATTATCTTTAACTCACCCTGAGTTAGGAGGCCACCAAAGAACTTCAGCTATATTAAGAGCACGATAAGGATGAATAATAACACCAAAAGTTGTGATCAAGGCCAAATTTGCAATTGAAATGGAAGAAAGATTGAAAGCATTTTTATCAGGAAAATAGAGTTTGATTCTAATATAATTTCTTTTGTTCGACCTTAAGTCGTCATGTTTGAGTTTATTCATATCAGCCCAAATTTGGTTTATCGTAAAGATGAAAGCAGCTTTCACCACAAAACTGGATCGGTTGGAACCACTAGACTTGCAAATATGGAGCCAAACTGCCAAATTATTATGACTATATTGAATCCCGGTCTTCCGTAAAAGCCAATGCCAAGGAGATTTCGCAAATGAGCAATGGAAAAACAAGAGTTCGGTGTTTTCTTCACTAGCATTGCACAAATAGCAGGTAGAAGCCAAATGTATTCCCCGCGATCGAACCATAACCCCAAATAGGATTTTGTCATGAGCTAGTCGCCAGATCAACAAAAACTTATTAGGCGGGTGTTAGCTCACAAATTCGACGCCCACATTAAATGAAGAGGGTTGAGGGAAATATTAAAATTATCAAGGGAATACGAAAGAGACCTTCGATTGGGAAAAACCTTCGATTGGTTGAAATATTAGAGCATTTGGGACTTAAAAAATATTTCTAACATTAAAGAAAACTCCTTCAACCGAGACTACTGGTCAAATATTTGTGGAATTTGAAATTCAAATAAAGGAGGGAGTAGTTATGCTTTCTCACTGCTGAACAGGACAAGTGGCGCATATCTAGCAAGCAATTACATACGGCGTGACACTTGTCATAAGCTGATCATTTTAGGAGGTTAATGGCAGTTAATTCTATTATTATAAATAGGGATTCTAGCAATAGAATTCGGTGTGTTGTAATTTACTATTGTACAAGTCACTTCCAAAATTACTCAAAGTATCCGAGTGTAGAGAAAAGAGTTCTAGGAGAATGTATGTTATGTAAAAACACCATTTATGCGTTTTAATGAATCTTATTTTGCTTTGCTTTATCTTAAAGAGTTTATCTTTACTTCCTTACAATTTACATCTTTATGGCATTATGCTTTACTTTGTTTAAATGTTTTTAAAGAATTTTTACTTTGTTTCCTACAATTTCATGTCCTTTTATTTCAGTCGAACCTCACATTTACATTAATCTTTTCTCATAAGCATTGTCGAAGTGTCCAGTTTTAGGTAATTTCTTTCAAATAAAATTTAGCACATGTCCTAGGATTAATCTGATCGATCATGTGAATCACTGAAGTTATATTTGGAAGATCAGCGGTTGTTTTCTAATTTTCACGGGAAACAAATTTGCACGTCCAGTGGGACAGTGCTAAGAATTTGTGAAATTTTTTGTAAAAATTGCGAACTACAGTTGTTATTATTGTCTTTGATAAAACTCTGTTGCGTGTTATTAAGAAGTGGTAAGATAGCCGCTACAAACAAAGAAAGACCAAGAAAAGTTACACTAGGGAAATGGCGACAGATGTTAATCAGCCAAATAACCCAAACCTTTGAGGGGATGGCTCTAATCTCCCGCCTAGTAAATTCAATTCTCATGATGTGTCAATGAGTGATGTAGTTCCACCGTCAGTGTCTTCGACAGGAAAGAAGATAGCCCATCCTGTTAGACTTGAACCAATGCCATTAATATTAGGGTCAGGACCGACAAGTATAAGGGCCTACACCTAACCCGTGTTAAAGTATGTTGGGCCTCAAGCGTTGAATTCCCAAACTCCGCCAGGAGGGACTTCGACATCTAGACATTTTTTCCCTCCAGGGTTTTCACAACCAATACCAAGAAACCCACCATATGGAATGCCAACGACAGTAATGCAAGGCCTACAAAATGTTCCCCCAATATTTTCAAAGAATGTGATGGCTTCGCCATTACAAGGATTGGGGTATGGGATAAATGTTGGTCGAAACAATCAAAGTATAGGTGTTGGGTACTCCACTCAGGGCCCTAATCTGACCAATACTTCGTCCTAGGCAATAACTTGTTTGAGGCAGCAAATGGATGAGAGCAACCTGCAAATGATTCAAACCTTATCCCAGACTATGGGGGAAATCTTTCAACCCTTGATCCAAAATACTACTCAGACTAACCAACAATTAGCAGTGCAATTAGCACGGCTGGCAGAATTTATGGGTGTGCCAGCCACTATCAGAAACCCAACCATTATGGAAAACGTTCCACGACAGGACTTAGGGAACCTACCTGAGGCCAATCTAGAAAATCAAGGGAGGGTCAAACTCCCTAGACTCGAGTCTCTTAGGGTCGAACCACAAAGGGTCCAAGGACCAATGCCGGAGGAAAGATACCCATAAGTGATCATGGTGAATCGAAACCAAGATGCAGACAATGTCATACAACAGGTTTGATGTAACAACGTGATTATCGATAACAACTTGGAAACCATGGTCGAAAGAATAATGGCTCGAAATGGGGTAAACTTCGATTTTACTGGGCCAAATTATACGTCACCAATAGTAGATTATATTCTCCAGTCAGAATTACCGCCTAGGACAAAGGTGCCAACATTTACCAAGTTTTCAGGAGATACGACAGAATCTACTAACGAACACGTTGCCCAACATATGATTGAAGTCGGAGAGATTGCAAATGATGAGAGCCTTAGGATAAAATACTTTACAAGCTCTCTCACTAAAAATGCTTTCACTTGGTTTACAACCTTACCCCCTAACTCAGTTTGCAATTGGACCCAGTTGGAACAGTTATTTCATGAACAGTTCTATATGGGGCAAACCAAGATTATCTTGAAGGAATTGGCTAGTATAAAACGAAAGTTTTCTGAGCCAATAGAAGATTATCTAAATAGGTTACGACTACTCAAGGCTAGGTGTTTTACTCAAGTGCCTGAACACGAGTTAGTCAAAATGGTCGTTGGTGGCCTCGATTACTCTATTAGGAAGAAACTAGATACCAAGTATCTGAAAGATATGGCCTAACTAGCTGATAGGGTTCGACAGCTAGAGCGTCTTAAAGACAAAAAGGTCAAATTTAATAAGAGTAAGAAGGTAGCTTACGTCGAATATAATGAAAATATTGAAGGAGTACGTGATGAATCATTATATTTTGAAGAAAATGAAATAGATGTTGCTGAATTAAAGCAGGGTCCTCCTTACGCTTGTAAAATGTTAGCTCCCCCAATTGGAAAAAGTTTTGTTGAATCTGAAAAGAATGACAAGTTTTCAAAGAAAACATATACTTTCGATATCATTAAATGTGACAAAAATTTTGATTTGTTAGTTAAAGATGGGCAAATCATAGTGCATGTTGGTGCTAAAATGCCACCTTTAGAACAGAGAAAAAAGAGAGGATTTTTAGGAATGCTATCTAAGAGGGAAGATTGAAGTTTAGAGAGAAAAGAAATAGCTATATGAAAATTAATATTAATCCACTACAAGCGGTGGATGCCCAATATGCGGAGCCCACAGAGGCACATATGGTCGAAGTGGCTGATGGTTTCGATTTTTCGATTAACATGCTGGAAATCACTGAGGATTTTACCAATGAAGTTGTACTGGCCAAGGTCACTGTAGGCTTTGAGCATGATACCCCAAAAACACTCATGAATGAGATTGTTGAAGGTCTCAACAAGATTGTTTGTGACTCAAGTAAGGGAGACACGGAAGGTTCCAACTTGATGTTGGTAATCAAAGAAGCTGCAGATGGTTTTATTAGGATGGATGAGGTTGCTGTAAACCTTGAGTTGGACCTCCGTAAGCTAAACCTAAGTAATAACATCGACATGGATGTGAATATGATTGAAATAACACAACACGAGACCATGGAAAACGACGAGTTAAGTTGCCAAGAGAAACACAACAAAATGGCATATCCAAGACATGAGGAGACCATCGTAGAATTCCTCCATCGCTGCCAAAACAAAGGGTTTGGTGTCATTATGTACCCCAGATGTAGTGCAACCTTCGATCAGAAGGCTTCCCATAAGCTTGAGGGGATGCGAAAGACAAAACATAAACGGGAGAGGCCCAACTTTGGTCCTCGAAGCAGTGATCCAAGAAAATATGAGCCTAACACTAGAGCGCCAAGGGCAAGGCCTGTCACCTTTAAGCCATTTGCCAAGATTTCTAACGGCAAGTGGGTCAACCCTAATGAGGATAGACAAAAGGGACAGCAAAAATGGAAGAATTTCGAAGTTAATCGAGGTTCATCGATCACCTATCGAAAATAGTCCAATCCTCTAAAATTGCACATGTCTTTGAGAATTACAAGGGAAAAAATCCGATGTCACAATCTCAGT